GGAGTCTGAGGGGTCCCAGGGGGTGGTCCTGGGCACTGATGGGGCTCAGGGGGTGCTGAGGGGTGCAGGGGTGGTCTGAGTGGGCTCAGGGGCTGATTCCTCCCCCTCCCACCCCCCCAGGTCGGTGCTGGTGGGCTTTGGGGAGCCCCCCAGGGACACCTTCTCCCCCCTGATCATCTCCATCATGGCTGTGGCTCTGGGCACCCCCCTGGCCCTGCTCCTGGGGGGCTCCGGCCTCGTCCTGCTGGCCCGGAGGAGACGCTACTCCGAGTACGAGCCCATCAACTGAGGGGACACCCTGGGGACACCCCCAGGATCCGCAGGGACATCCCTGGGATTCTCTGGGAGACCCCCAGGATCCGCAGGGACACCCCCAGGATCTGCAGGGACACCCCCAGGATCCGCAGGGACACCCCCAGGATCTGCAGGGAGAGCACCAGGATACTCAGGGAGACCCCCAGGATGACCAGAGAAACCCCCAGGATCTCCAGGAAGACCTCCAGGATCCTCAAGGAGACCCTCAGGATCTTCAGGGAGACCCCCAGATTCCCAGGGAGACCCCCAGGATCTCCAGGGACAACCCCAGGATCCTCTGGGAGACCTCCAGGATATGTAGGGAGACCCCCAAGATCCACAGGGAGACCCCCAGGATACCCAGGGAGACCTTTGGGATCCCCAGGAGACCCCCAGGATCCTCTGGGAAACCCCCAGGATGCCCAGGGAGACCTTTGGGATCCCCAGGAGACCCCCAGGATCCTCTGGGAGACCCCCAGGATGCCCAGGGAGACCTTTGGGATCCCCAGGAGACCCCCAGGATCCTCTGGCTCTCCCCATCCCGGCATTCCCAGCTCCAAGGGGATCCCTTGGCACCGTCTCCCTTTGTCCTTGCTCCTCCTCTCCCTGCCTTGGATTGCACTTTTCTCCCCCCTCCCCTGTTTTTTCCTGATTATTCCAAGGGATTTCAATCCCTGGAGGGACACACACAACCCTCCTTCTCCTCCTCCTCCTCCTCCTCTTCCAAAGGGATACAACCACTGTTGTCCAGGGATGCTCGGGAAGGCACCCACGGGTGCCCCCTGCTCCCTGCTGTGCCGGGAAATCCCGGGAAAAGCCAGGCCTGGTGGCTTCAGGGCCTTTTCCCACATCCAGGGAAGCTCCAGAGCCGCTTCCCAAGAGCTTCGGGCTGGGATTGCGCTCCTGGACGCTCCGTGGGGCCGGATCCCGGGAATTCCCAGGGAGGTTCCGTGTTCTCCGGG